ATTTGAACGGCTAACTTTTCAGCGGTGTTGTTATCCGTTGCTAATATTATTTTTATCAGGAAAAAGAAGAGAAAAAAACGGAAGGGCAAAGGCAATAAATTAAGGTAGGAAAAGAAATGACGATAAAGTTGTAATTTCAGAAAGGAAGAAAAGTTAGTACAGAATGGTGTGAAAAAATTGTTTCCGATTTTAAATAGTCTAAAATTTAAACGGCAACAGAAGGAACAGGAAAAAAAGACTATTCTTTATTTAAACAGTTTAAAAAATTTTAGACCGTTTTGCCATGTTGTCAAAAAAAAAAAGAAAATTTATCCAGCACTTTTTTTTCATTGTCGACATAACTTTAAATTCCTCTATTTATTTGTCTATTTTTTTTTCAGGGAGGGGGGTGTAGGGAGAGAGGGAGATTGTTGATTTCCTATAATAAATGTGGTCAATTAAAATAGATGGAGAAGCAAAAAAAAAAAAATTCTTTCTTTTTCTTTTTGTTCTTTCTGAGGTGAAAAGAAAGAGAGCCGGGGAAGGGAAGAAAGAAGTCAGGAGGGGTGCCGAGGAAACAATATTCAGGGACAACCAATTTAGGAAAAAACTCTGAACAACTCAACCCATATTGGTGCTACTGCTGTTTCTGGTTGCTGCTGTTGCTGCTGTATTGTTTGTGGACGGATTAAGGCTGAAATAAACCTATTGGGCAAAGATTGGGGTAACAGCAGTACCACCAACACCATCACCGTCAACATCAGCACCAGCAGTGGCAACAACAACAAAAAAAAAAGAGAGGAACGATGGCCAAATAGATCCATTACAATAATATTTTGACCTTAATTTCTTTTTTTTTTTCTTCCTACATTTTGCTTTTTCATTTTAACACCAAAAAAAAAAAGTTAAACTGAAAAAAACCTACATTATATCAATTCAACAAAAAAAATTACTGCCTTTTTGTTTTTAACAACAAGAAGAAGAAGTAAGTGAAATAACGGATAAAAAATGACCATGTTTCATTACGTTTTATTTATTTTTATTCCTTTCATTTTTCTTTTTTTCTCGCTCTCTTAAATGGTAATTTTTCCCCGTAATATATTTAAAATTTTCATTTAAAAAAACATTATTGTTGTTATTGCCGTTGTTTTTCAACCCTTATCTACAGTTTGTGTCAATTTATAACCAGTATCCAAAATTTCCGTTTTTTTTTTTGTCTTGTCCATTTATCTGTGGATAACACTAAATTCCAGCTATTCAGTTAGAGTACACTGCTGAATTGAGGGAAAAAAAACAGAAAAGGGACAAACCAAAAACACTTATCCAATTGTTTAGTAATAAATTAAGAAAAAAAGAGCGACTAAAACGGAAAAATCAAAATATAAACAAAAAAAAAAGCAATCAGTAATTTGTAAAAAAAAAAAAACTGTGAAACGGATTTTTGTTTCCTTTTGTTTTTTTCTGCCAATATTTTTCATCTTATTTCTTCCACTCATTGCTAATGGTAGTTAAGGAGGGGAAAAAAACCTGCTGAAACATCCAGCACCAGTTTTCGTTTGGATAAAGTTCTGTACACTCGACATTTTAAGTGTATGCCAACAACACAAAGTTCAACAGAATCATCTTTCGTCTTTGTTATACTTTGTCTGCTTTAATCTTCTGCACTTCTTTTCTTCTTCCACCACTTTGTTCCTTTTCAACGGCACCTATAAGACGTCAGAAAAACAGTTGAAACACTGTAGTAGATACTTCATTCTCTTTTTTTAGATGAAAAAACCTTCTTTACCTTAAACTGCTTAAGGTACATTGAAAACAAAAAAAAAAAATTACTGACCACCTTCACTGTTAACAGCAACAACAACAATGACGATAGAAATAAAAGTAATAATCATAATAAAAGTAATAGTAATAATAATAGTAATAATATGTCAATAATGATGTTAATTACCAATTAATGATCTTAAAAATGACACTGATAACAGCAGCACTTACAATAGTAATAAATACAAAAATGATCAATCAAAGCCATTTTAAACCACAACAAAATAAAGCATTTTTTTTTCCAACTTAAAAAAATAACAATTTTAACTATGCTCTTCCTTTTTTTCTTTCATATTTTTTGTCAAACCTTCTTAATTTTTAGTGTCATTTAGAAGCAGTAAAGAAAAACTGTTTATCTTGTTTTTTAGTTTTCTTCTCTAAATGTCACACTAATGTTGTTGTTCATCGATATTACAATCTATTTACACCAACAACTGCATTAAAAATTTTAATTTCTTCCTTCCTTGAACTAACAAGAGCCTTTTTTTTTCTTGAACATACTAAATGACAATAATTGGCAAGTAGGAAAAGTAAAGTGGATAGAAAAATTGTGGAAATTTAGCAGAAAAAAAAAGAAGAAAACGGTGACTGTAATTGTTTACCGTTCAAGTTAAAAGCAAAAAAAACTCTTGTTTTGAGATAAAAATTGGACAAATTTTTTGACACCATCAACGGCATCAGAATTAAAATGTCCCCAGCAAGTTTACAACAACGATGCCGACAAAAACAACTACTATTATCACAACAGCTGATGTCCTGATGTCAACAGCCTATTTACACTGCCCTCTCCAGAAAACCTTCAGCAAAAAATAGAAAAAAAAAATTAAAGAAAAGTTTGCAAAAAAAAGATGCATGAACTAACTGGTTTGTCCATCAACATTGAATTGTAGGAATAGTTAAACTCTCAAATATCCATTGGAGATCGTCTTTTCCGTAATAAACGGTAAAAATAAATGACTTCCTTATGATGGAAATAACTGCTAAAACATATGTAATTTTCTTCTTCTATTTTATTTTATAAGAAAAAAAAGAGATATCCAACTAAATTGTAATTAAGATTTTATAAATGACTTAACAACTAACTACACACTTTTTTTTTTTCACTAAAAAAATAGCCGCAATGAAAAGAAAAAAATTAGATAGGATTTTA